ACCGGTTCCCGCTCACTGGCTGAGCGAGGTGCGGGAGCAACACTGAGGGTTGCGATCCCATGGCCGGTCACGAAAAAAGACAAAAAGGAAAAAAAAAAGAAGCCTGGTGGGCCTCACGGAACCTTCTCGAGGCTCGTCTCGGGGCATGGGGAAGAGAGACCCGGGGACAGCCTTCAAGGCCCAGTTCAAGAAAGAGTTTTTTGAAAATAGTCAAAAGAAAGTAGGATGTACTCAAATTTCTCAGCGAACCCCCTGATGCGGGCTATCATGGAGACCTCCAGGACCTGCCAGAGGGGCTGGGGCAGCTTTGGGGAGCCCCATCGTCATCTCTGGCTCTCCTACCTTCCCTCTTTCTCCCTCTGCCCCTGGAGGCCAATGCCAGGACCAGTGGCTTTGGGGCTAGAAGTCTTGAGCAGCTAGGAATTTGCAATTAGCCCAGCAAATTAGTGCAACTGCTTACAGGAGGAGATAGGGAAGCTGGCAATTAGCACGGCCTATCCGTCAGGTGAGCCCAAGGCCGGAAACCAGCAGGCTATGGAGGGGGTGGAGTGTGGGGCAGCCTCCAGGCTCCAGGGCTGAGGGTGCCTCTATCCTAGAGATGGGTGGAAACCCCCTGGAGAACAGTGGCTTTGAACCTGGAGCCTTTGATGGCCTGAAGCTCAACTACCTGCGCATCTCAGAGGCCAAGCTCACTGGCATCCCCAAAGGTAGGAAGGTGGCCCTTCCTACCCACCCCCCCACCTGCAGGGGCACAGATGGGCAGAGCTGGGGGAAGGCCTGGAACCACCTGTGCCCGCCCAGTCTACTCGGGGAGGGAGTCGGCAGCCCCCTCCCCTCACCACAGCAGAGCTGAGGCCTCAGCTCCCAAGCACCTGCACTCACCTCATGCACCCGCTGTTCTGGGCAGATCTCCCCGAGACCCTAAATGAGCTCCATCTGGACCACAACAAAATCCAAGCTATTGAGCTGGAGGATCTGCTCCGCTACTCCAAGCTGTACAGGTGGGGATGGGGGAGCCAGCGGGGTGGAGCACAAGGGGGCGCTGGAGTCTCCCCATGTCTGTCATGTGGGCTTTAGAGCCCACTCCGCTGTGCTTCTCCCTCCAGTCCCGAGTACATCTCGTTCTCCCATTTGCAGGCTGGGCCTGGGCCACAACCAGATCCGGATGATTGAGAACGGGAGCCTGAGCTTCCTGCCCATGCTGCGGGAGCTGCACCTGGACAACAACAAGCTGTCCAGGGTGCCCGCGGGGCTCCCGGACCTCAAGCTCCTCCAGGTGAGGGCTGCGCGGGGCAGCCCGGGGGCACCGGGATCTCTAACACCGGGTGGCGGAGCAGCCCACGTCCCCGGGGCTGTTCCTCGGCTTTGTGCACAGCAGCTGGCCAGTCACTCCTGCTGTCCTCATCTGGAAAGGAGCAGCCCCCAATGCTCCATCCCTGAGGTCCAACGCCTCCTTTTGTACAGAGCCCTGCCACCCTCCACCTGTGGAGGAGGCAGCGAGTGCACCCCACAGTGCACATCGAGGAGGGTGGCAAGGGCTTGTGAGGGATGAGCAGGATCTGGCCTGGTAGATCTCGGAGCTGAGGTCTCCTAGGCAGGTCGGACACCAGAAAGCTGCGGCAGTACCTGCAGGTGCACAGATCCATGCCAAGACAGGGCCAGACCAAGACAGAAAGTGGGCGGATGGGGTGCAGGGCCACGCCTGGGGTTCTCTCAGGGGCCAACATCCCTGGCGTGGCCTGCAGCCACGTGGGTGAACTGGGTCTTGCCCAGCCCTGCCCTGGGCCTCAGCCGGTTCCTCAGCCCCACTCACGCATGGTAGGAACACCACCATCACCACCAGCCCCAAATGCAGTGTGGCCCATGCCGGGCAGAGCTCGCCCTCTAGTGGCCGGCATCCTCTCCGCCACCACTGGGCTCCGAACCCACCTGCGCTTGTCCTCTCTGCTCCTCCCCAAGACAGCGCGACTCTAGGGATCGAGTGTTGTTGCTAGAGGGTGAGTGTCCGTGAGGGCTGGGAGGAAGAGGAGGGCACCCTTGTGTCCCACGGGTCTCTGCAGTGAGACGGTGATCCCCTAGGGGCAGGCCTGCAACCCCGGGAACCCAGATGGAGGACCAGGGGCCTTCTGGGAGCCCAATTTGCCATTGTTCCTACATAGACATGGTGTCAAGATCAGTGTTTCAAGTGCACCAAATGCACCCCCATGACACCCCCACCCTCACCCCACCTGAGCCCCTCATCCAGTCCCTGGTGGCCCACCAGTGCCTGCATCCTGGCCAGCAGCTGCCCACAGACACACCCATGCCCCATGGCTCCTCCCGACCACGGGTGGTGCCGAGGAGGCCGCGCCGCAGCATGGAGGGAGGCCGGCCTTTGCTGGGGCCATCAGCAGCACCCACCGAGGCCCCCGACAGCCAGCCTTGCCACGCCCTCTGTCCCCAGGTGGTCTATCTGCACTCCAACAACATCACCAAGGTGGGCGTCAACGACTTCTGCCCCGTGGGCTTCGGGGTCAAGCGGGCCTACTACAACGGCATCAGCCTCTTCAACAACCCCGTGCCCTACTGGGAGGTGCAGCCAGCCACCTTCCGCTGCGTCACCGACCGCCTGGCCATCCAGTTTGGCAACTACAAAAAGTAGAGGCAGCGGCAGCCAGCACGGTGGTCAGTGGCCGCGGTGGGTGTCTCTGGGGAGCACGGCCCGCGGTCCTGCAGGGGAGGCACCGCCCCCTCACGGCCTGGTCCCTGTCCCCTGCCCCTCAGCTTCACAGCTGCCCTGGCTCACCCACCACCGCTGCTCAGAGACATCCCTACAAAGCTTTTCCTCATTGACCCGAAGCCCAGCGTCCGCAGCTCCAGTCCCAGGAATGCGGCCCACGGGTGTGTGGGCGGGACAGGGTTGTCAGCAGGGCCTTCCTCCTCCTCATCTGCCTCCAGGCTTCCAGCCCCTGGGCCCCTCCAGCTCCCCGCGGCCTCTCTTGCCCCCTTCGGCCAGTCCCTGGCCCGTCCATCCAGCCACCCTGCTCTGCTCTCGCTTCCCCCAACCCGTCTCTCGCCGTCTCTCTCTGTGCCTGCCTTGTGCTTCCTCCGATCTTTCTCGCTTCTGAGCTTAGTGACCTGTCCTCCTTTCATCTTTCTGGACCTGGCTTCATCCTCTTCTCACTACACACACACACACACACACACACACGCACACACATGCATGCATACACACACGCACACACATGCATGCACACACACACGCCTTGGGCTGGGTCTGCTTTCTGTCTCACTGGCCTCTGCCCAGCCCCTGCCCAAACAAGCCCAGGGTGGCTGCCTCCCAGCCTGCCCTGGCCAGACCTTACCCCTAAGCCCAGACACTCCTGGAGAGGCTGGAGGTGGAGACCCAGCACCTGCACAGATGGCCCCGGGGATGGCCACGCTCCTATCAAGAGGGGAGCCTTAGGCCCTGCAGACCCTGGGACTCCCTGCCCCTGGGAGAGGCCAGCACCCCACCAGAGCCCCAGCTCCCTGTTTTCATTGGCCCCACCCTCCCCGTCAATGGCTAGGTCTCCCCACCCCTCGCCTTCCAGTCCAGTCCCCTGCTGCAGGGGCTGCAAGCATCACACAGCGCGAGGGGTGCTCCTGAGGTCGGTTATCTTTCAATTAAAGAAACACTGTGCAATATAGCTCTGTGTGCCACGCTCCTGGGGTGGTGCCCTCAGAAGGGGGTCCTCGTCACCCTCAGGTCTAGGACTGGATAAAGAGGCCCCAGGCAACCAGGTGGAAGGCCAGGGACTGGCCCCTTCCACCTCCCTTCTGTTGCCAGCTGTCCTCAGACTGGGTTCCAGAAGCAGACCAGGCCTGGGGTGCAATCTGCTCCCAGAATGGAGCGTTTGCCAACCATCCACCAGTGGCAGAGCACCGGGTGAGACACCCTCCAGCAGGAGGGGGGCTGGAAATGCAGGAGGGGCCCTGCCCACCTGTCTTAATGGAGTGAGCGCGGGGCTCAGCACGATCCAGCGTCAATGCCTGGGGCGGTGCCTCCCCATAGTGCCCCCAGTAGGCCACACTGTGTGCCAGGAGAGCCAAGCGCGGGTTGCAGTGCGGGCGCTGGCTCCCAAGAGACAATTCAGGTCAGGGCTAGGGAAGCCTGCTCACTGGGAATGCAGGTCTGCCCTGGAAAGGGCAGCATGGAGGGAGACAGTCCCCAGGTGACCACAGACTAGAGCCTGGCTGCTCTTCCCTTCGTTCCACATGAGGGGCCTCCAGCTCAGGTGGTAGGAGCTGGGGCTTCCATGGGCAGCCATGGCTGCCAACAAAAACGGAGCAGGCAGGGCCCGCTGTGAGTGATAGCCCAGGAAAGACACAGCCTAGAGGCGCTGCATGTTGGCTCCTTGCACACTGTCCTGCCTTTGCACCTGGCTTGGCACCGGGGTGCACAGTGTCCCCAGGTTTCTCCTTTTGGGGATGGGAGGTGCTGCTCAGCGTGGTGGCCCAGCGATAGAATGTCACCCATCGGCATCATAGCACTATTCTGGGGCATGTGCTCCATGGCCCGGCAATCTCTGCTGAGCTGGGCAGACACAGGGCAAGGGCACTGGCAGGGGACCAGGAATCAGGGCCTCGGTCAAGTCCCCTCGCTGGCCAGTAGGAGGGGCAGCCAGAGCCAGGGCCTGGCAGAGACGGAACCATGGAGCCTCCGCCCGTTTCTCAGGGAGGGCATGTGGGTCCAGCACAGCCCCCCAAATCTCCGTCTTCTCTTCTTGCTTCCCACCAGCCTTCCAGTCCTTGCTTTCCTCTCTGTCTCTCTCTCATTCCACAAACTTTCACCAAGCCTGACCTCGGTATGTCCCAGCTCCCAGACGCAGTGGGGGAATGGTGCCACGACAAGCTAGTGTGACAGTATTACATGGGTGGCGAGTACAGAGGAAGGCGTTCCGCAGGCAGCACCCGCACTGCCCGGACCAGAGTCGGCAAGTGGCCCAGGTAGGAGCCCAGGGGCAGACAGGGCCATGCCCCGCAAGGGTGGGTAGGGGGTGGGCTCCACTCTCAGAGCACTGGGTCTTGACCGCAGTGTGAAGATGGACTACTCAGCCTCACTCTGCTATCAAGTGTGTCGCAAACTATTACATAATAATAAAGTTGAGACCGATTGGGCTTTAAAAAAAAGAACCTCACAGAGACATGAGGGCTATCCCTGCAAGCTGACAGCCCCCATCCCACATCCAGGTGGGTCAGAGCGTGAGACGTTGCTCAGGTCTCCGGCTGTGGGCACAGGAGGCCCAGGAGGCGAGGCTGCTGAGCTGGGAGCCGTGGGGCAGGAGGTGTGCTCAGGAGGACCAGTTAGAAAGCAGTAGGAAAGATGGGGCACCAGGGACAGGTTCCAGCCTGATCTTTGCTTGAGTAGGAGCCCTTGGACTTGCGGACAGATTAGATGTGGGGTGAGAGGAAGTGAGTGGGCAGGGTGGGGTGTGGGGGTTTCAGTCAGAACCACCAGGTTGGTTGTGGCGTCCTGTGGCCTGAGGCCCCTGGTGGGGCACAGGCTGGGGAGGGGAAGGGGGCCGTGAAGAAGGCCACATGAGGGCTGGGAGCAGCCTGGACTATGGAACGGCAGTGGGTGCGCAGGTGTGGCTCAGAGCAGGGACCTGGGCTGGGGGCCAGCTGGGGCAGCCACCAGCACACATGTGGATGTGCTTACACACATACAGAGACTCACAAACATACACGCGCATGTGAGCACACAGACACATGCACAAACACAGAGGAGTCCACATGAACACACACACGTGCATATACAGACAGAAGCACATGCACACATGCGCACACAGACACACAAAAGCACATGAACACATACGTGTGCGCACACGGATACAGAACCACACACGCACGTGCACGCACAGACATGTGTACACAGGAGCGCTCAAACACACACGCACACAGAGCAATGAATGCCATGGGCGTGGCTCACTTGGGGAGGCCTGTTCTGTGAAAGGGGCACAGACTGGAGGCAGGGGGCATTTCTGAGCACTTATTGCATGTCAGGTGCCCTCTGGATGTGGTGGGGCCCAGCTGGAGCCTAAGCTGAATCCACTGCTTGGATTTAGACAAGTCAGGGCTTGTCAGAGGGGCAGCCGGCCAGGTGCCCACAGGCCAGGGCTGGGGATGGGGGCAGGGCCCCTCAGGGAGATAACCCTTCCTTGAAGGGCCTGGGTGGGGGCAGGTGGAGGGCCCAGGAGCCAGGGCACAGGGGCTGCTCTGAGAATGGGCAGCAGTGTTCATCCATGGCTGGCCTCTCCTGCTCGTATCCAGACTGTGTCCCCAGGGGCTCTGGACTCTAGTCTCAGGAGGTCAGGGACTGCAGGAAAAGGCACAGCCCTGTCCACTCTGGACATGCCAGGCAGGGTACCATCACTACGAAGAGCCCTTGTCCCCTGGGGCCCTGGAGAACCCAGGGCAGCCTGGGTGCTGAAGTGCCCTGGCACCTACTGCATGAGGGGTGGCCAGGGCAGGGGGGGTGCCCAGGAAACTGAGCTGGCCCCTGAGGCTGGGGCCCCACCAGGATGTGCAGGCCACGCTCCCTCCAAAGTTTCTAGAGAGGTCCTTCCTGCATCTTCCAGCCTCTGGAGGCCCCAGGGGTTCTTTGGCTTGTGGCTGTGTCACCCCAATCTCTGCCTCCATCTTCACGTGGCTTCCTGCTGTGTGTGTGTGCGTACGCGTGTGCGTGTGGGTGTGTGTAAAATTTCCCTCTCTCCCCCTCTTATAAGGACACTTGTCATTGCCTACAGGGCTTGCCTGGATAATCCAGGATAATCTCCCCATCTCAAGATTCTTAACTTAAAGTCTTTAAAGACCCTATTTCCAAATAAGGTCAGACTCCAGTTCTGGGGGTTAGGATGTGCGTTTCTTTGGGAGCATTTTCAGCCTGCCACCAGGCTGCAGGTGGAGGAGGCCTTGGGGGAGGGGCTGTGACCTCAGCGACAGCGAGGGTGGGCACCAGGAGAAGACAGGGGGCCCGGGACCTCCACCTCAGGGCAGGCTGGGGAGTTGCTGTCCCAGAGAAGGCCATGACAGTCACACCAAAAGTGGCAGGAGGGAAAGCAGGCAAGGACAACACATGGCCTGGAGGCCAAGGGGAGAGGAGCGGGCAGCTGCGGGGCCTCTGTAGGGAGGAGGAGCCTGGTGACAGGGCAGTGGCTGAGGACCTGGGACAGAAAGCAGTCAGGGTGAGTACATGGACGAGTGCAAGGGTGAGGAGGCCAGGCCAGAGGGCACGGGCCGAGCGCAGGGGCTCTCTCTGTGGGTTCCGTTTCTCAGGCTGAGGCAGCCTCTGAGGTATTACCGTGTTGCCCGGAGGAGGCAGTTGACAGGAAGCCATCAGCAATGCAGGCGAGAGGGGTGGAAGGAAGGCCTTGAGGTCCCTGAGGAGGCGGGTTCAGGGCACGGGGAGGGTGGACCTGCTTGGGACCGGGGAGGGCCCAGGAAGCAGGGAGGTCTGTGCCGCTTGGCCAAGCGCCTTTCCGCTGTCATACCCTGGGGCTGGCTCCCTAAGTATTTCCAGTGCAGAAGACAGGGCTTGGTGTAATGAAGAACTTTCTAGCAAAGCTTTCTCCACCGACCTCTTTACAGATGGAGGAACCAAGAGGGACCGGCTAGTGAGCAAGGGCCAGCAGTGACCCTGGCAGAGTTTGCCTGGCACCCAGGCCTCGTCACTCCCAGGCCTGGGCCCTCTGTCCTGGCTCTAGGGCTCCAGGCTGAGAACCAAACAACTCAACCTGCAAAGAGGGGGCCATCCCCGCCCCTGGCCCTTAGCTGTTTAGGGACCACAATTTGCTAGGGACTGGGGACTTTCATGACACCTAATTCCTTGGCCATGTGACTTCGGCCTTGGTGGGAATTCAGCACAAAAGTGGGTAGCATGGCTGACTCCTGGCTGGGCTAGCCCCGGACAGTGCCCCGGCCACGTGAAGAGATGATGCGCGTGGGCAGGTAACGTGCCGCAGGTCTCCTCCCCCAACCCGCCTCTTCCTCCTGGCGAGAGAGGGCCTTGCGGGGCACGGGGTGGGCGAGGCACGCACAAGCGTCCAACCAAGGGAGCAGTGCCGGTCTCCTGTGTGGACAGCAGCCATCAGTTAAATGAGCACGCCCAGGGAGATCCACATGTCCCATGGTCCCCAAAGGAAGGCCATGGCACCGCCCCGAGGGATTCTCCTC